CTAATTTTCATCAGCATTTCTCTGGACACCTAACAGCAATAGCCTGGGAAATTGCTGATGCTGGGTTTGTTTTGCTCCCAGAGTTGAGATCCTGGGACGTCATGGGAATTCAGCTGGTTAATGTGGTAAGAAGGGCAGTTTGTACAACATTAGACTCTGTGTTTACAGTGTGTGTTTAGGCATTAGGTTTGAGGTAAAGTCTCCCACACTACAGCAAACAGCGTCACGCTCCACACTTAGAGCCGTCACTCCAAATTCACCGCCGGCTCCTGTATCTGCGCTGCTAATGGATGGAGAAGCCCACGAGGCATTTACATACCGTAGGAATTTCAAGTACACTTTTGGACAGTTTTTAGCGCCACACATCGAGGTCAGTGTAAATCATTTCAATTATTGTGACACAGGTGTGTTCTGCTGACTTGTGTTTTGTGTCCGTGATGTCCAGGGAACAGAACTTTTTTTTTAATTTATATTTTTTTTGTGATTACTGCTGAATATATTATTTAGATTAATGACAAATGATTTCCATATTTCATATCTAATGAAGGATCATGGGTGGAAACAATGCAGAGAGGACTTTGTCTACAGCAGAAATAACTACCAGATTAATCCAGCACAGTCAAATACAATGGTGCATTGAATAAAATGTGTAAAAAGGCACTTTGCCAACAACAAGCAAAAAACTGTTTTAACAGTTTTTGTTATTATTGCATGCAGTGGTTCATAATATAAATATATTTATAGTCTATTTTAAAGTAAAGTTATTTTGTTTGCTCTGCCCCTGTATGTGGTCAGAATCCTCTGATCTATTTAATAATTGTTTTTTCAATCTGTCAAATTTGAACAATTTCTATATTTACTATTCAATCATTTGGGAAATAGTGTTGCAAAAACTGTAAATACTTTACTGTGTATTTTCCTAATTTCCTAATTTTACTGCTTAACTTCACATTTATACCTTACAGTCACATGGACAACTTCCTGCCAGGAACAAATGAAGTATTTCTGATTGTGATTTATGTTTTCTTCACTCAGACACTTTGCAGACTAAGCAGCGGTTCATGGCACAGTCAACGACGTTCAGTCTTTAAATGCAACCACAGCACAGACGAGTCCAAGCAGTTTGACTTTGCACAACTGTCTCCACCTTCACACCGAAAAGTGATTTTCGGATTTTTTTTGTTGCTGAACGCAGTGAAAAACAAACTAATTCACGTCTGTTAATGTCCTCACATTCAACACTGACGTGTGTGTCAGTTAGTGTAACGATGATTTTATTACTGAACAAACAGTTCAGTGACACATCATTGAACTCCTTCTTCAGTGTTTGTTGCAGAGACATGGTTCAGTTCCCTTTACTTGTCCTTTATGATTATTTTTCATCTTTTTTTAGATTAAATATTCTTATAGAAGCCTGATATCTGACACGGTGAGGAAGGTCAGCGTGAACGTTTCATTACTGCGGGCTAATGATGCTGTGAAGTACAAGGTAACGTGTGTGAACACCGGCGCTCACGTCTGAAGATGACAGACATGAAGGCTGTGGGTTTAACCTTCAACCTCCATAACAGGAAGCAACTGGTTTCTGAAACTTTACTTAAATATAATTTTTGCACGGACACAAAGTGACCTAGGCTTCATTATAAGCCCTAAGATTTGAAAGAGGACAGAAAGATAAATCATAAACACGGGCTGTCAGCTCTTAGATTTGAAAGAGGACAGAAAGATAAATAGATAGATAGATGGATGGATCAGGAGGGCATTAAAAGGGTTCATGTGAGTAGAGGTCATCGGACTCTTACCAGCACATTTGGTCCTGGCCCTCAGGGGGGGCCCGGGGGCTCCAGTGCCTCCTTCCAAAGGTCTGGTCAACAAAACGCTGATCTCGTACTCTGTGTCTGGGTCCAGATGGCCGATCTTGTGTGTGGTCTTGTCCACGGGCTGCAGGTCGTACATGGTGCCCGACACCGTGCGGTACTCCACCTCCCTGTCGATGATCGGCCCGTCCCCGTTGATGGAATTGGCATTTAACTGGATCCACAGATAGGTGGCACCGACGGCGGTCAGCTGTGGTGGAGCGATGGGAACAGGGGGCTCTGGGGGAGGGGGGAAGGTTGATGAAGAGTTAGACGAGATGCAATAATTTAGCCAAAGCTAACGTTAGCTACAACAGGAAGCCCTCGGTCGACCAGATGACGTGGCTCAGTCAGTCTGGATGTCTAAAAATGTTAGATACAATAATTAATACTTTGAGTTTACATTCATCTGGAGGTTTGAAAATTTAAAAATCAAGTCAAGCGCCCTGGACTCTGTTCTTGTGTTTCACATAACAAGACATTAAAGGAGAGTCGGGGAACAATCAGCGGTACCTGTCAGACATATGGATCGGTCCGTCATCGGTTCTGCAGTGACTGACACCTGTGATTTGGTGCATTCTCACAGTGACCTGCCCGTGGTGTGGATGACAAACACTATTCCACACGGTATTGATTTCAATCAAACGCCATTGGCAGCATTTGGAATTGGACAGCTGATAATTCTCAGGCTCAATTTCTCCTTAGATTTTCTAAGTATCACTAATGGACCAAAGGATCGGTTTTAAAAGTCCCACATGTGGAATTTTTTTTGTTTTTATCACTTTCCACATAAAACTTTTTAAAATTAAACTCAGAGACAGTGATGGTTGATGAATACTGGGTATAAAAGGTTGGTAATATTCATACCTTCCTTTGTCAACTCACTCGTACCACGTTGAACATCTAACACACAATAGGAATTCAATAGCCTGACCCTGAACTTCGTAATTCTCATTAAATGAGGTGTCAGTGTTGAGACATATAAAAAAAAAGTAAATTATGAATCTCAATATAAAAACATGGAGAAAATAAAGGATATGAAAAAAAAATCAATTTCTGCCCCTGTTTTCTAAAAGAATTCTAAACTTTTTCTTCTTTCAGAGAAAACTGTTGGATGATGACCTTGGAGCTGACCTTCCTCAGTTACGTCACAGCTGTTTGTCTAATCTTACCTCGACCTCGTGCCACTTCTGCCTTAATGAGGCTTTTCAAAATGTCAGACGAGTCATTTCAACCATGGTATATTTTCAGGATTTAATTATAACATGACGGAGTCCGGAGACAATGGAGGCCACTTCAATAGTTCTCAGCAGAAATGTTGGAGACTTGTCTTCGTTTTAATTATCTTCAGCCGTATCGTCGCCGTCATTGAAAAAGGGTCAGAACGGCTTTTAGAATTTTCTCTTTCGTAAATCATCAATCTCTGCGTCTCCATTGACACCACTGATGGTTGTTGTTCAAGGTGATAAGGCCTCCAGGTGCATGCTGGGATGTTCTCCACGCCTCCTCCAACTCCTCACACAACCAAAAACTGAGCGCTGTGACCCACAGCTTAAGTGCTGCTGATGAATCCAGCCTTGTCACGTACTACAATAGTGTGCGTCCCAGAGGCCGCCACCAGGAGCTCTAATGAGCGCACACGTGTAACAGAGTTATACCATTAGTCGCCTGGCTCCTTCTCAGCGACTTGTCACGGAGAGCTCTCCAGGCGTATTAAAAAGCAGACTGAGGGGTCCGGGGTAGATCTGCAGGCTCTCCCTCAGCAGATGGTTACCCCACAGTGACCTCTGCTGCAGCTCCTAAACTCCCATTAATCCATGTTTCTAAAGTTGCTGTGTCAAACATCACCCAAAGTGAACCAGCTAATCCGCCGGGTCCTCTCCCAGACCTGCACGCAGCGCGCGGGTCGGCCGGCTGGAGCCAGACAGACAAATAAAGCGACCCAAAAATCTGGGTTCAACCACAGACTTATGTTGATGGGTTTTTTTTTGTTATGTCTTAAAAGGGATTTAACTGAGTTAAGGAGCAATATGCTGAGATTCATTGAACCAACACAGAACAGCACGGGCTCCACTGCAGCAGAGTGGCATTTATCTAAAATATTACCAGGGTGATTATGTTTGGCATTTGTAATATTTTAAAACACAAACTGGAACTGAAATGTCATAAATGGAAACAGACGTTTTATATTCCTTTTGGCCTTAGAGTTTTTTTTTTTAATCTCTTGGACGGTTCTTAAAAAAAAAAAAAAAAACCTGACCTGCAGGAGATGAATCTAAATAAAACCGTCTTCATTTTGATTATTTATCCTTTCAGAAAATATCTCCTTTGGACGTCCAACCTTATGTTTGCTGTAATCAACCTGCGGCCACAAAGCAGCGTGACGCATGACAGTAACAAACAAACAAATAACTTCCGCAGGTGCAATAATCCTGCGTTCAGCCGCCGGATTATCATAGCGAAATACCATCAAATGCTGCGACAGTGCCAGTCGTTAACAACACATTTCCCACTGTTTAATCCTCGCAACACAGCGCCGTGACAGCAGGGCCCTGGACGCGGCACTGCACCGAGCGCTGGGGGGGGGGGTCAGCGAGCAGCTGTTGTCATGATGTTGACCGTGCAGCAGGCTTACAGTCTGGTGACAGCTGTGCCCTCCTCCACAGCACCACCTGCCTGCCAGAACACAGGGATACAGAGGGGGGCGCACACGTGCACGGACACACAGGCGTCAACGCTGAACTGATTATGACTCATCAACAAACTCAGGTGAAAAAAAATACAAATCCAGGAAGAAGAAATGACACTAATGAGAGCTGAGATTGAAAAACACAATTGTCAATAATGCACAACTGACACTGACACTGACACTGACACTGCAGTTTCCAAAGTAGGGGTAGCGGATCACTCTAGGGTGCACAGAACTATTGAAGTGGAGCAACTGATCTCACTATTTAATGGGAAAATGCACCCTTTTATCGTTTAATTTCCTTTGTTCAGTGAGAAGAGCAATCAGGTAGGAATAATATAATCTTAAAGTCAAAGGTCAACAATAGTCCTGTCTACAGGAGAGGACATTTTAGTTAAGAAAAAGGACGGGAAAAGAAAAGCTTACAGATTTCCCCTGACCTTCTTAATGCAATTATTTTTTGAAAACTAGTTTTTTTTTAGACGATAACTCCCAAAGGTCACATTTAACTCTGCTGTAATTAGACTTCAAATATATATATATGTATATATAAGTACTAGTCGTAGTACTACATTGATGAGCACAGAGCTGCAGCTCACTCCTCCAGTGTCTCGGTGCCATAACTCGACTCCTTTGAATATATCCAACTGTGAGGCCAATCACGGCTTGTGCAGCATGAAATAAGATCGCAGTCACTCACAAAATGGTAGAAATTATTCTTCCATTTCTTGTCCAAGACGGAACAGGTTTGTTTTAATCTGCTGCCTGTAGTTTTCAGTAAGACTTATAATGAGTAGAAATCAGCGGGAGCACAAGGAGCAGCAGGGTCGCAAAAGAAAAAAGAAACGTTTAATTTGTTTCAATTTCTAGATCACAACCAGAATCTGGTAATTAGTTAGTCGGGGTGCAACCAGAAACCAGAAAATGTAATTAAAATTCCTCACTTCCTGTCTGTGTTGTTGTTTACAGACGGACAGACAATGAAGGAAGACCTGACTCATAAATCTAGGGTTTTACTCTGTTCAGTGTGAGTCCTGTGGTGGTGAACAACAACAACAACAACGTCAAAGAACACAATGGGAAACAACAAATCACTGCATCGTCCAATGAATGGCCAGTGATGTCACTTCCTCAATGATTTATAAGTCCCTGAACTTGTTTTAGTTCTGGGTGAGCTGTTGAGAAAAACATCAAAAACTTAAAAAAACCTGCTGTCCTCTGCTCCGAGAGGAAAACTTAAAAAAAACCTGCTGTCCTCTGCTCCAAGGGGCTGCAGGTGATCTTAACCAGGGGGGAGAACGGGGGCAGGGAGGGATAATCACCGCTTCAGAACCGACAGACGAACAATAGCCCCCACCCCCCACAGTTTGTGAATGGGGGGAGGAAATGAACCTCCACATAAATCTGACTGAACACCAGCAAGGAAGTCAAAGTGGTTATCCTGGAATAATCAAGCATTGAGAAAAAAAAAATCCCAGCAGGTTATTGAAACGAGAGGTTGGGGGTGCGATGCCGGCTCATAACCCAGCCCCTCTCTCCGCGTTCACTCTTCCAAAAATAAGGCACGCATGTTAAGGCACCTACATGTTTAAGGAGATTTACGGCTGCGACACAATGCTGGGAGGGTTGAGCTCTTGTTTTATGACTGGTGCGATAAGAGAAGATATCAGCTTTATGTGTGACATTTATAACCGTGGAAAACGCCTCTTCTCTTCCTTCGGCGTACGCCGGGACTGCTGAGGTGTGAAATCTCTGCAGAAGTTAAAGTGGAACGCGATACGAGATCCAATCATTTCCTAAATCCTGAAATTGTGTAATTTTAAATATTTTATGTAAAGAAAAAAAAAAAAAAGCACTTTGCCTTTAACAGATATGACTGGCTTAAAAATGTATCTCTACACCCTGAGAGCTGCTCTCCGCCACAGCACTGCTGTCTGGCCTGTACGTGGAAGTGCAAGGATGTGCGAGTGATTGTGTTTTAGCACGACGGTCGTTTAAAGTGCCTCCAGTGTGTCAGTAAATTTTCTTTGAGTGCACCACTGACACCCACTGATACACTCGGCCACAGAGACTTTATCTCCCTCCCTCAATATGCTGTGTCTGAGCCCGGCCATTCTTGTATGATTGACAGACCTCGATCTGGACAGCCAGGATTAAACCTATCAATCACATAAAGCTTGGAGACAAAAAAAGAAGGGGGGAAAAAATCGGGGCAGTAAATTCAATTGAGAGCATGGGGAGAAAATTGAGGTGAAGAAATATAGAAGGCCATTACCAGGCGATGGGGCTGGAGGAAAGTGAGGCCTTGCAGGATTTAGTTGGGACGACTCCATAAATTCATATCAAACGACTGCAGAAGTGAAATATCAGTGAGATTACTGAGGACCCTGCTGCTCCCGTCTGTGTGTTCTTTTGGTGGAATGTCGCTCAGTCAAGGACGGACTCTGTACAGAGCGTGTATTCATCATCACGGGTGAAAAGACTGCAGTTTTACTCTCACTTAAGAGGTTTTTTTTTCGTGCTCGGGCCTCAGTGGTATCTTGTTCTTTTTGCGTTAACTTTCCCCCCCGGACACGAAGGTGACGCTAACGCAACACGTCCCCGTTCTAGTCGCTGTAACCTGCTGTAGGACACACACTTACGTTTTATGGTCAACTCCCCATAATTGGACACACCCACGCCTTTGTCTGAGTGGACAATGCAGCGGTAGTATCCCGAGTCGCCCTTGGTCGTGTTCTCCACGTCGAAAGTGCCAATGAACCGCCGGTTGTTCCAAGGTTTAGTGGCTTTCATCGGCGCCTCCCGTCCTCCCAGGCCCTGTTTGGAAGTGAGACAGACACCGAAGTCAGCCCTAAAATGTAAAAGCTTTAATAAACAAAGTGGCCTGACAGTGTGCGCTTCCATTGTTCCCACTGGCTGCCAATGGAAGGGATACATTTAGCAAAGTGTTGCGTACACACACACACACACACACAAACACACAGTGGTCTCTCCCCAGCTGTCACCCCCGCAGCAGGCAGATGGGGGACATTTGTTCATTATTAATATTTCTTCATTAGTGTCTTCGCGGGACTTCGTTTTGTGTTTGTTTTCCTGCTCCTGTGCTAATGAGGATGTGTTTGTTAAAATGACGGAGTGTCTGACAAAGGACCTTTACACGCCGTCGCGCTCCCACTGATCACGTGCTCACAGCCGTGTCTCTGCCAGACTGTGTGTGGTAGACACCTGACAAAGTTCAAATATCTAGATTATAGAAAATAAAAAAATGTAACAGCAGAGAAATTCATGTGTGGTGAAAAAAATTAATGTCCAATGAAGTTCTTTTAATTGAAGTCCTAATCTGTAGAATCAATGCTAACAAATGTGTAGCACAAACCAATAATCTGTTAGTCTGTAATCCACCGAGTCACTGAGGAAAATTCCTAAAACTAAACTGAGGGATGGGGTTTAATAGACCTGTGGATTTTTTTTTCAGATTTTCAGTGAGTTAATGAAATGAAATAAATGTTTTATCCAAGAAAAAGCAGTAAAAAGATGATCAAAGATGATCAAAGATCTTTTCAGATTCCAGAGGCGGAAGTTGTCCCTTTTGCGTCCATTGACGGTGCAGTGAAAAGAGGCCGTTTGTCCAGCATTGACCTCCACTCCCTTTATAGTTAGGAAGTGCGGTGTGTTCACTGATAAAACATTTTAAAAAGACAGAAAAGCTAGTTAAAAAATCTTCATCTCTTCATCATCAGTCACCACAGTGGTGTTTCATTCATCTCCACGGTGTATAATAGTCACAACTGTTTTTTTTTTCAGATTTGTGCATTAAGTCAGAAAACAGAGGAGCTCTGATTGATCGGTGTTCTTTATCTCACCACTGGGTGTCAATGTTAAATATCACCTAAATAAATCTAACGTGAGGAGCCGCAGGCTGACGTTCCGACAACCTAACTCCCATTTCTGCTGCTCCTTAATTCCTCCTCCCTCCTCCGGAGGCAGCGGCCGTTTTCACACACTGTGCTCATTTGCCCCGAGCTCAGTGACTGGAAACATCCAACGACAGTAACTTCTACTACATGGGAGAAAATGGGGCAACTTTGTGGAGCAACCTTGATTCAAAACATAACCAAATCTCCAAAGAGTTGGCGGAAGCTAATTCTATCACTCTCATCATCGAGACTCTCATCTTTGGGAAACATTTTCTGACCTAATCCTCGGGCGACAAAGACAGCAGTCTCTTCCTGGTTTTTATGCCGTCGTCTGTGATGAAGGTAGCAGAGACGGAGGACGTTCACACCTCTGTGATGGGAGTTCCACACGGTCATATTTATAGAACATTAATTGGCCGTGTTGCAGTGAGGAGCTCCACTGATCACTCTGCTTATCACTGAAACAGGGCTGACTGCTGCTCAACTGTCATAAAAAAAAAAAAACATCCGACTGATTCAGTCGTTCACCTTTACACACAACAGCAGCTTCCAGATACGTTTCCATCCGACTGATAACTAATTTGTGAACTATATGTTTCTACATGGTCTCTACGTTATAAGCCGCTAACAACCGGTGCTTGAAGCTTAAGCTGTGACGGATAAACCAAGAACTGAAATCAATGAAATATATTGACGGAGAACGAGGAGTGTGAAAACCTCTGTATGAAGGTGAGGTGAGTTGTATGGACCACGAAGACTCCTGATGGACGGCTGTGTAGAAAAACTACAAATGATTCTACGATGAATATTAATGTGAATTTGAAAGACGCAAAATCAAAAATCAATTTTAAAAGATTTAAGATATTTTGCAACATAAGACCTGAGCAAACTATGGTCCGTGGGCCAGATACGGCCCACTGGGCTTCCAAATCCAGCCTGCAAAACTCTGGTACATCTACAGCAGCAGCGGCAGCAGCAGCGGCAGCAGCAGCGTGTGCTGTTATTTTAATACTTTTTTTTTGGCATTGTTTCATCTCTTTCTCAAAGGAGAGTTTAACAGAGCCACTCAAACATTATATCCTGAGCACACTTCACTGTGTCAACTGCATGAACATAAATCTTCAGGGGGAGAGGGGGGGGGGAGGTTTACACTTTGCACTGACTGCAGCATATTGTCATTGAAGGCCTCCTGTCTCACTGATAGGCCTTGGACAGAACAACCATGCAGGTATTTGGGAGCGTGTCATGGAAAGGACAATGTCTCTTTGATGATATTCTTTTATGGCGAAGGGGATTAAAAAAAAAAAAAAAAAAAAGGACTTACTGCACTGGTGGCCCTGGACCACGACGTCTTTGATGGCCAGCAAACCACGCTGCCCGGAGGTTACAGCTTCAAACACAATCTGAGGAGGAGAAGGGAGACTCATAAGATCACTGATAAATGACCACACGGCTCCAAATGGCACCTGAGTGAGGCCGCCCGCCCCCCCGCCTGTCCAGCTACGGCTAATACGATCTGGTCCTAGCTGAGCCGCAGTTGGTCGCACAGCTGCAGGGCGGCTGACGTTATTTCCACAATATGTCACGGGTGATGGGTGTTATGACATGCAAGTGTTAAATTAAGTTTGAGCCCTGAGACGATTAACACACCGTGTGGTGACAAGCACCAACAGGGGGGGGGGGGAGGGGGACCAGATCAACCTGTGGCTTGAAGACTGATCCGGCTAAATTCAAAACATATTTCTTTCTGCTCTTTTACGGTGTCATTTTGCAGCTCTTTTCTCTGTTATTGATGTTGCCCCCTTCAGGCAGGTTGGCTTTATTTGTCTGTAAATCTTTTTACGGCGTCGTCCACATATTTCAGATTTAAGGGATTAGTCCGATTCTTTTCAGTGATTCTGTAAATCTCACTGACCGACCTGAGTTCAGCATCAGATTTAAATTAAATCACAAATTGTTAATTTTCATCCGCACCGTCAGTCACCAGTGAGAAGACACAGCCAAGGTGAACACTGACAGGTCAGTGGCCCTTTAAAAGTCCCCAAAGAGACAGAGGAGCAGCTGCTCATCTCACAGCAGGACTTTGATGCTTAAAACAAAACCGACATAGAAAACGGACGTGGTCATTAAACAAAGTCAGAAATTTTAACCGCAAAACACAGGTTCTTCATTGGGTTAGCATTGGTAAACCAGACATTTACAAACTTTTACACTTGTTCTAGCTCTTTTTCTTCTTTTAGGACATTTTTAAATTTTTTTTTTACTATAAACTGACAGATTGTGTCTTTTTTTGTCAAAGACCTGCAGTTTTACACTCAACTGTATCCTTTAATTCCAATGTAGGATGTGACATAAAACATATATATTTAAAGCAGTGAAATCTGTAAAACATACTATAAAAAATTAGATTTCATGTTAGTTGACAATATCAAACCAAAATATGAAATTATTTTATAAATGGGTATCATAGAGAGATGAGACAAATATGTTTCAGTTAACCACAAATATCCCTAAAACATAAACATACACACAGGAGGCTCTGATGACATCACTGAAGTACAACCACAGCAAAGGTATGTGAAATGCCAGCCGTCTCATTGGTTCAGACCGTGACCTGCTGGTACTCTTCACAGTTGCTCCGTGTCTGGTGTTTCTGTGCTGACGACGCCGATGACAGAAACCCTAAAATCATGTACGAGTGTGCGGCGCTGGCCCCAACAGCAGGACTATTTTAGGGGCCGAGTCCTCCTGCAAAACACATGGTTCCAAGCTGCAGCAGAAGGCGTGTCACGGCAGACCGTCACAGTTATGTGGTCCACGGTCTGCAGTGTGATATAAAAGGAAACAGAATGCCAGTCCCATCCCAAACTCAGGGTGTGGTGCCCAGACCTGTTACACCGCACTCACCCACATGTTCTGCATGCCATCACTCCCCTTCTACGAGCTCGCATTTTCAGATCAATGCTATATTAATGGCTAGGTCCCATACATGGAATCATCACCAAACTTTTGTCCTGCCAGCTGTAGCTGTAGCTGTAGCTGTGCAGCACACACACACACACACACACACACACACACGCCACCCATGAGATTCCTCTCAGCACCGTAGGCCTGTGGAGGAGCGGACGGTGGCGCTCACGTCCTCATCAGGGACGCAGGACGCCTTCAGATACGCGTGTCTAATTATGAATTTCTTTTTCCATCTGGTGAAATATGAAAGTGAATGTCTGGGGTGCCAATTATGGCCTCATTACAGGCTAATTTAAAGGAAATTAAAAGGCCAACTACCCCATATATCGCCACCAGACAAGTTAACCGGCCCCCGTTCTCTAATTGAAATCCTTTGTTTGTACAACAGGCATCAGTCAGTCCGCCTAATGGCTGTGATATAATTGATTCCAACATCAGCCGTGGTGCAGTGCATAATTGGGCCTGACCCACAGAGTGAAAACATCCACATGGGACGAGGGCCGTTGATGTCGAGGGAAAGTTCACCGTTCTCATTTGTCAGAGCGGCAGACGGTGAACTCAGCATTCAACGTCTACATCACCACAGCGCCCGGCCCGCGGGGACTGGGCTAAGTACTACATTACAGCAGGATTGATTAGCTCTGCCACAGGCGCTACTGTATTGAAATCAAGATAGATGAGAACATTAAGGTTTTTCTTTTGTAAAGCTGCACCGCTGCATATCAGGCTAAAAATGGACTTTTCAACGTCGGCGTGCGTGGAGGCACACCTTCACCAGTGACTGTGCCGGACATGCAGAGGACGTCACTGTCTCGCTGTAGTTCCGCGTGCAAATGTTCTGCAGGTTCCGGCGACAATGACAATCTCAATTAAAAGTTTTTAAAAGCAACCTGACAGAGGAGTAATTATCAAAGGCTCACGGCGCCTAAAAGGCTTAGTGGTAATTAAAAAATAATTTCCAAGTATCAGGTGGCATCCCTGTGACAATTACATAGGATACTATGCAATTAAAGACACCTATAATTAGTGCTGTGTTGTTAATTAGTGATCATTTGGAGCGTCGTCCCTCTCTTCTTGACTGGGAGATGCTAAAATCATTAGCAACCTCACGTTTGCCCCTGTTGTCGGTGCCGATCTGGAACAGTTACAAACAGAGACGCAGCTCTGTCTATTTCAATCACTCAAACATGTTTTTGACTTGCCCTCGGACATCGGATGACGTCCATTTGTAAACAGCTTCTTCTCAGTGATTTCCAGAATTTAGAACACTGTGTGACAACAATTTCACTTTTATAAAGAACAATTGAACATGTTACATGACGTAAACGACAAAAAACATTTTCTGAAACATGTCTGTTCCTTCAGTGACTGGTCTTGTATCAGCCTAATAAAAACACGGACTATTCTCACTGGTTCTTTCTGTCAGGTGAGCGCTGACTTGTTACCGGTTGCCCCCCCGCCCCCTCCCGTTGTGAGTGTCTTTTGTCCCTGCCCCCCTCATTAAACCTCCTCTTTTCCGTTCAGCAGTGAGCAGCTCAGTGGTGCGCCTTGTTAACCAAGTTATCACAGCGGCCGTGGCTCGGCTCTGCCAGGAACTGATGAAGTGATTCAGCGAGGACAGTCTCCTGTCAGGAGGTTAAAGGGTGGCTCTGTATCAATTAACATTTTGGGGACTCGCGGAACGAGCTCGGTGAAGTCTCGCAGCCAGGGAAGTGTGAAATCACCTTGCGTGGCCCGGCAGTCGTGTGCATTGTCAAAATGAGTTTTCGGTATTGAGAAAGAAAGGAATTGGCTCAGATGGAAGTGAGGGAGAACAGATCGCCATGGATACCATGGAAGGTAGCCCGAGAAATCGATAATCCACGGTGCTGTGAATGGGCTATTGTGCAATTGTTTGGACCTTCTCAAATAATACATTCTCACGCTGCATTCAGGGAACAGGGCTTAATGACTTTGGCTGAACTATAAAAGCTGCTTTCTCATAATACCTGTCCTGGTTTTGTGCTGACATGTCCCACAAACCAAAAGAGATAAAAAAAACAAATGTTCATTTTCTTTCCTCACCTGGTAGAAGTTGGGCCAGTAGGTGCTGATGGCCAACTCCACCTGGGCCCAGGAGCGAGTGGCCGGAGCGGACACGTTCCAGACGGGCATCCCCATGGGCCGGTTGTTTTCCTTGATGTAGACGTTCAGGTGAGCTGGACGGCTGCTGTCCCTGCCCCCCACGTAGTAGTTGAAGATGACGCAGTGGGTGTCGTTCTCCTTCAGCTGGGGGGTCAGCAACAAGGCCTTCTGGCCTGCGAAGCGTCCTGAAGTGTTCACAAACACGAAGGCTGAACCTGGAGGAGAAAACAGATTGGTATGAGTTCAGTCATAAATTGTGATTTTAGTAGAGAAGAAGTAAAAACATCGTAATATTCTACATCTGCACAACTGTTAAACAGCATAGCTTTGATTTCATTTGGAAAGTCAGTTAAAACGCTGGTGCTATGCTATGATGGTTAGTAAAAAATGATTGGAACATGAAGCTACAGGAAGTAGCAGCGTTGCAAATAGACTATATTTTTTGGAATATATTAGGATTGATCTTCATCAATAGTTTTGATCACGGTAACAGCCAACAACTGACTTGTGATTAACAGTCATCACGTCGTCCTCTTTAACAGGATCATAATAAAAAAAAAAACGACGTCTGCCGCGCTCAGGTAAAGGACTCAGACGAGACCTTTCCTATTAGCAGTGAAAACGGCAGCCTGTGAACCGTAATGAGCAAACGCTCTCATCTTCAAACACTGTAATCACTATCATTCATCATAAAAAACCAGAACCGAAAGACTCATTTAAAAAATGCTGTTTGTTGGAGCCCGTCTGTGTGTGTGTTTTCCCTTCAGAGATGCAGGAATTGATGAGAAATCAATACGTTTGAATCCCGGTGCCAACTTAGTCCCATTTAGATTTTATCGCCCGTGTTCAATATTAAAGGTTAATCTGATTCTCTCCCCTTTTGCCAATAGAACACAAGTGAGAATTATTACGCTGGCACACTTTCAAGGAGATGCAGAACATATTCCATTTGTCATCGTCTTATTTAGCTCGGCCCGCTAATGAGATGGCACACATTGTAGCGGCGCTCCAGACCCGGGCCGACGGAGACTCCCTTCACGTTTGAAATATATTATTTATTAATACTTCAAGTGTGGTAACGACTGGGAGGCACATTACGCTCGGAGGTGATACAAACAACCTGTAAGTTAAAACGCTCCGCTCCCAGACACCGATGTAAATCACGGTCGTTAAATTATGGAGTGAATGACATCAACTAAATCAGCGGCTCCTCAGACAAGAGGCCTCTCACAAAACCCAATTTGTTACGTCGCTCCCAGACACGGCCGATGTAAATCACGGTCGTTAAATTATGGAGTGAATGACATCAACTAAATCAGCGGCTCCTCAGACAAGAGGCCTCTCACAAAACCCAATTTGTTACGTCAGTGACTGGAGTTTGTCCACTTGTGATTGTAACACTCCACAGTTCCATCCATCTCCAGCTCCAGATAATGACTGTGAGCTGTGTCATGTTTACACAATGAAACAGGAGAGGAGAGGAGAGGAGAGATGAGGAGAGGAGAGGAGAGGAGGAGGGGGAGGGGGGGAGAGGGGGGGGTCTGCTGCGCCAGCGGGCGGGGGCGGGCGAAGCGGGGAGGTAGGGGACGACTCCACTTTAGGCATCCCATACATCTGATTTAGCTGGCCCACTGTCACATATTCCTTCACACACACACACACACAAACATGGAAAGGAGAGGAGCGTTAAGGAAAAAGTTACATCAGCGAGGCAGGACACGGTGGGAAACAGTCAGGAAGGAGCGCTGCCGTATCATGAAGGTGTAAAGAAAGAAGGCAAAAACAGAAACAACAACTGGATTAAAAACACACTCACACACTCACAAAAAGAACACACAACATGGTCGACATTCAGCATCAGCCGGAGTGTTTTGATTTCTACAAAAAACCTGGGTCAGTTGTCCATCAACATCCTGTGATGAACATTTATACGTCACACCAACACACTGTTAGGTCTCAGAGCCGTCACATGGTTAGTCTCATATCACACATGACCTTTGTGTCACAGAGGTCGAAACATTAAGGAGAGGAGAGGAGAGGAGAGGAGAGGAGAGGAGAGGAGAGGAGAGGAGGAGAGGAGATGAGAGGAGGAGAGGAGAGGAGGGGCACTGAGGTGGAAGACACTTTCACACGCCGTTGAAGGCATCATGTGACCATCACACCTGAACAGGGTTCTCTCTACCATAAATACTTAAAAACCTGTAACTCATTACTAATTAAAACCGTTGGCTGTTATACATTAATGCAGGTTAAACTCCCTTAATGTGTAGTACACATCAATACTGCTCCACCAATATACTGCAGTAGGGGCGTTAACAAAACTATCAGTACTTTTTGTCTTGAGCTCTTATGCAGTATTTTTAATAAGTACATCTTTTGAAGTATTTGTAATTAACACAGAATACCAAAATGTCTCATTTGTACTCCCAACACTTTTATCTGATCAGAGTTATAAGACGGACCGGACTCTAACGAGGCCTAAAGATTGATTTTGTTTTATGTGGGGTTTTATTTTAATTATTTTAATTTTTTTTAACTCTTACAACTCAGGAATTAGGTTTGATGGTCAGAGATCAGAGAAGATATCTTGGAATTGATTATAACAGAGGGAGAGAGCTGGGAGTGCAGCAGGTTAGGGTGATAAAATATTCATGTGTTGGTGGGCAGCAGGGCAGCAGGGAAGATGGGAGGGTATTTTGACGAAGAGCGAGGACGATGAAGGAATAGAATTTTAAGGAGGCATTCCACAAATTTGAGCTACTGTGTTGAAAACCTGAAGGTAAAACGTAAACGGTGATCGAGTCACGGTGTCAGTGCTCAGTTGTGAGTTAATTAAAAATTAAGGACAGTCCACAAATGTCTAACAAAGTCTTTTTAGAGAAGACATCGCTGCCTTTTTTGATGTTGTCACAATAGAGACTCAGCTCTGTTGTCATAGCGATAATGTCACTGCCTTTTAATCAACCGGGTGTGAAACTTGAACTTGAAAACGATGTCACCATGACAACTGATTATTATTTTTGTAAAAAAAATAGATAACATACAAACACATACATATATGTACAGAAAATATATACATAGACACATTCATAAATATACACATATTTATATGTTTAAAAATAAAAATACATATATACATGTATAGAAACAATCATGTTTTAATATTGTATTATATTGTATAATATTATTATATATATTTGGACTTTCTAAATTGTAACTCCTCGTCTCATCTTCAGTAATATATTCAGTCGTCTGCTCCAGTGCCCACGTTTGGTTTGTTTTATTTTAGCCTTTTAAATATTAGCAACACTTCAAGCGAACACTGGTAATAATTTGATGAATTGCTCCTTTTCTAAACAGAGTTCCTTTTGTCTTTTTTATATTGACAGACTCTGTTTACTATTCATTCACACAGATGTGCAGTGACAATGCAGTGGCCTGAGGTTTGTGCTGGTTGTAATTACAGATGAACTTCTCTGATCTCCCAAAGCTGCAGTTTTTCAAGTCTTTTCTACCACTATAATGAAACATGAATAAAAACATGCTTTTTTGTGTTTCTGGTGGAGTCACTTAGTGAACCAACCACCATAAATCTCCCTGTCGTGCTGCTATTGTCCGACTGAAGATGATGACCAGAGAGCACTGATGGTCATCCACTCTCCACGCTTCTCCAGGCTAATGACCACATGCTACACAGGACCTGCTGCACAACCACAAGCTAATTAGCCACCGAGACTAAGATGAAATTATAATGACACTGTGTTAGCGACGAGCTAATGTGCCAGTGATGCACAAGCATGAGCGTCTTCACCTCCGTTCCAGCTCTCGTGCCTCAACAGTGACACGTTCAAGACCAATTAAGAGCAGAGATCTCTCAGGCCGGTCTCCTCCAGCTCCAGTATTCAGAGGAGCACATTTATTATGATTTCACTGTAGGCCGACCTCAGCCTACATTTAAAGTGGAGAAACTGAGAGGCTGGAACCAGGAGATCACTGGAGGTGAATATTATTTCTGTAAATGCAACACATATAAAAGTTGCTTCTTGTTTTTTTTTTTGTTTTTTTATCGCAGTATTTCAGACAAGGTCGTACACAACCAGACTGTAGGTAAACGGCTGCAGCAACTCAATGGAAACATCAAACGTCATTGATTATGGGATTTTTCTGTCTAAAGACACAGCAGTAGCTGTGGCTCAGGAGTGACTTTATCTTACGACGGGAGGGTTGTAGGATCGATTCCAAACTTGGTAGTACAGTGTAGCCTTGCTGTCAGTTGGTACACTACATTAAAAAAAACAAACAAAAAAAAAAAACCCTTTTGCAGTAAGTGCTTTGAGTGGTCATGAGGACCAGACCAAAATGCTAAGATGCTTTCAGCCTTTTCTATACCCTCTATTGGGGAAATGTGGGCATTGCAGAAATAAGAAAGACATATAATGAAAATAGAAATTAAAAACATAATTTGGAGGGCCGGGTTAACAAGCCAAACGGGCCGCACTCAGCCCCTGGGCCTTAGTTTGTTCATGCCTGCTCTAACTGCTGTTAAAAAATTGTAATCTTAAATTAGATGATTATGATTATATATAACAATTAACTGAGGGAAAATAATAAGATAATAATTAATAATCTGTTATTTGCCTCCTTCAGACTTCCTTCTGGTCAGTGAACCCTGACCCCTGTGACCAGCTGGTCATTTAAAAAGGTGCAGCTACCATAATAAGACATATTTTGTTGGGCTGCCAGCCCATTGGGTTGTTGAAATAATTGATCTTATACGTTAAAATTTTATTTTTATAAGAGTTACTGTAATGACATCACCCAGATATTGAAAGTTAGAGAGTTACTGTAATGACATCACCCAGATTTTGTCCCTCCCTACAATAAAGCCTGTATTTTTATAGTGTATTTTTATTGGACAATGACAGGTTGGTAGTTGTTCCAGACCAGAGACAAATGGTGGATGAAGCAGAACTCTGAATTCTGAAAAAAAAAATTACTTCATAAAAAGGAGTTTTTCATATAGACTGTGGTACAATGTGCCGCATTTTGTTCAAATTAAAAAAAAAAATCATAGTATGTCGTTCACAGAAATAGGATAATTGGTCTATAGGTTGGAGATGAGAGGTGTGTAGATGAATAATGAGTTGAGTGACAGCCTGAGCGCAGGATATAATTTGCAATAATGACTAATACTAATTATTTCTCTTCCATTCAGGTCCTGAACTCTGTGGAAATCATTATGTCGGGGGGTTGGAGGGGTGGGGGCGCTGAGAAGGAAGGGGCGCTCTTTAAACCCAAACCCTCAAGGTCTCATTTGCTAATAAAATTCACAGAGGTCAGCGCTGCAGAAAAGCGCCGCCGCTGCTGCTTCGGAAATGTCAATGAAGACAGGGCCATTCTCCCCGTCTGCCACCAATCAAAAATGCTCTTGCTGTGAGGGTGAGGCTGTTAATGTGAACATCCATGGCCTGCACTCAATTTTCCAGAATTTTCACTGTGTCCTCGGGAACATGAAAGCAGCCTGATAAAATAAGCCTGAATACGCCGGGCCTCTCCATACGAAGCACTTGGCAGGTTCCTGTGACCGTGTCAAATAGATTCACCTCCAGCCATCCATCATGTGCAACATGTTTTAGCCTTGTCATTTTAGTCAGGTTGAAAAAGCGACCCTTATTATGTTCCCCTGGCAGCAGCCTTTGTCGCCGCACGCCAATCAAAAAGCAATAGTTAATGGGCTAATGTTAATATGCAGCGTGAGCTATCGGTGCTGGTGCTGAAATAAATGGGTCATAAAACGGCCCATTTGCCTGATAGATGCCCATTACACTGTTGGCAGTGTTTGCACAAGTCATCTAGATGCAGTATTAGCTATGGAAAAAAACAAAAAAGAAAACAACCAGAGTACACAAACTGGTATTCCAGGACAGTATGTGTCCATCATAATCTGATGTACTGCACAGTGAGGACACATTTCTTCACTGCAGAAACTAATCTGCATCTTAGTTATCAAAGACTTCATAGAATATGTCCTTTTTTTTGTCTGACAAAAGTTTTTTAAAGTACCAAGATCTCACATCTGAAAGACTAAAATACTTCTACTCGAGAGACACAACCTTGACTTCTACTTCATCCAGATAAACAAGAAATTATAATCTCCATTACTGGTTTGTTCAAACTCAAATTAGTTGGATTATCTTTTATTTTAAAAACTTTTGTTGCATTTCCCCTAGTTTTCTATGAAATAAAATGTGTTATTATTATTATTAATGTATAACGAGCTAATTTTGATCAGTTTTCTTTTAGATGATTCGTTCTGTAATACAAGGATTTTTATCTTTCCTGAAATTCCTTATTTATATTGTAATAAAATATATATTGTTGTATAAATGCACATATAAGTTAAATTAAAACCTACTTTGTTATTATTCATAATCTAATGAATCGATCAGACATTATAATGTCTGCAGTGCTGTCCCCTGCTGTCATCTTTCAGTGAGTGTTTCCCCCTGACCTCTTGACCTCTTGACCACTGGACTTTTCTTCAGTTATAGTCCAAGATGGCTCCACGGTGATTATCTTGTTTTCACTCCTTCCTCAACAGCATATCCCACCGTTTGCTGATGTGATTTAAATATTGATGACGGTCCTCTCGTCCTCCTGTCCCCAGACTTCAGCTCTCCTCATATTCTAAGTGGCTGCCCTTCTACTCCGCCCTCACCCCCCGTCTGAACAGCACAAAGTGCCGTAAACAACAATGGTCGTCGTGGAAATGCAAAGGTGAACGGTTTGCCTTTTTCCAAATGATCCTTCTTATCCATATGCAGCAGCCGCTCTGAAGGGTCGGCCCTCGTTCTGGGTTAAAGAGTGAGGAGCATCTGCAAGAAGGCATGAGGAGCATGATGGGAAATAACAAGCAGGGGAGAAGATCTCCGTCTCTCCGTGGAGAACCTCAGCGTTCATTATTGTTCAGAATACATTATCGACCAAGGCCGTGCCTTCGAAACAAAGATGTCGTGCAACAGTTGGAAAAAAACCCCATTCCATTTCTCCTCCGCAGACAATGTTAACAATATAACAGTAAGTCACTTAGCCTTGGCTACATTTGCTATTGTTTCCAACATAATAAGAGGAGGATAATTAATCTCAGTTAGAGTGAAGCTTTTTTTCTTTTCCTCTTGCTATTATTCCACAAAATGAGTCTCAGGAGAGAGGGAAGGAGCAGCAGACTCCTCCTGGAATCATCCATGACACCATCAGACACCAGGCAGCCTCCACACCAGCTGTGGTTCACTAAAAACAGCTCCCATTTTAAAGACATCTGGACAACCCCGAGCAGCTCGGCACTGGAAACTCCTCCACCCAGACATCCACCCATAATCACGTCACAGGGGAATAAAAGGCCAACGGTAGCTCCACTCCTGCCCACCAGGGTCCGACTGTGAGGCTTTTCTAAACAGTGTCCGCAGCAGATGAGGCCGGTTGGTAACGACGCAGCTGTTGGTGACACCTCAGACGCAGGTTTGTCCTAAAGAGACCACACTGGAGGTGGGGGGGGGGGGGCACCGGCACACACACAGAGAGCCCCAGAACCGGGCTGAGCCAAACTCACTCAAGGAGGAGAATCATGCGATCGCAAGAGCACAGAGACATAAACACATAAACAAGGCTCACTCCAACCAGACGTAGCAATTAGATGGAGCACAGATCATCGTAAACAACCCAGAGCTGCAGCCGCCGTCCTCCGTTCTCTGAGTGATCAGTGGACTTGTTTATTGCGTTTTATTGAACTTTTTTTTTCTTCTTCTACTAAACCCTTCTCGCAGCCTCGGATGAACGTTTTTTCAGCTCTCAAAGCATGTTGATTGTGGGTATTTTTCCCACAGATCTCAGTTGGGATAATAGAGAGGCAGCTGAAAGGGCAACCTTCATAAAGTGCACAATGTTTTTACCTTCGACTTTTTATTTTTTTTATTCATTTCATTCCACTGCTCACAATTTAATTTATTATATCTAAATAAAATGAGAATTTAGATTTATTACAGCTACCTGGTCCAACATGCAGGGTGTGCTATAAACAAAGTTAATTTAGATTTTTTGCAAAAATAAATGTTTTTTTTAATTTTTTGTCTAAATTTCACTAGTTCTTCAGTAAGGTGCAAAACATTTAGGCAGGCTTAAAAATGCCGTAAAAAAAAGAAAACAATGTAAAAGTGGGGAGGACAATAAACTCTATGTGGTGTGCAGTCTACAGCCTAGATTAATGGTTGCCTTTAAATCTTCCATACTCTGACGATCCGTCCAGACTCAACCCAATTTCTGGACCACCGTGGTCTGGGATTGGCACCAGGTCCCACTGTGACTCTGAAGAGAGAAGTGGAGTAGATAATGTATAGTCTGTGATCAATTCAAGTAGAACCGTTCTCCATTTAGAACCCACTCCTATTTCCTTTTCCATTCCCAGTATCCTGTGTCGGATACCAATCTGTTGGCCGGGTATGAGATTGTTCTGGGAGGATTCAGAAAGTGCAGGTCGAGATCGAGGCAGCAATCAAACGTGAGATGGACTCTTTCCGGTGTAGCTGTTTCTCTTAAATGTATTTTTTACCCATCATTCTCATCTCTGGAAAACCTAAAACAATTTCAGCTGTCAAGTGCTCTACATTTCACATCCATTCAAGGCGGTCAAAGAGGAGAGATTATAGTTTTGCGCGTCAGGTTGAGTGCTCACACTGAAATGGAGAAACACTGTTAATTACACACAATTCCAGAGGCCCAGGTAGAGGAAACGCCAAACTGAAGAGCACTCAGACGAGCAAGCACAATCAGACGGGCCTCTCCACCAGACGTGGGACTTTAATCAGGTATGTTAAATTTAGACCCTGTGTGATGTGGTAATTTGTAGGTCAAAGCTTTCCCGCATTTCAACCTGACCTTTGCCCAGCCTCCTTGTGTCACATTAATCATTTGCAACGGGAAAAAAAAAAAAACAAAACCCCAGCACTAGTCATCCTCCAGGATAACGAATGTCTCTGTGGAGCTTCAACAACACAGGTCTTGGCATGGGCTGCCTAAAATTAAAGAAAGCCTGTTAATTAATGCTCCTCTGTCACAGTGGGCGCCCGCAGCAATCTGTCTGCGACGTCGCCTTTGTCAGATTAGTCGTCAGATACCAGAGGAAAACAACAGCCATAGTTTGGCTGCTCTGAAAAATGAGAAAATGAATCAAAATCATTATTCCGTTGGTCTTTACCTCGGTTTCCAACGGAAAATTAAAGATAAAGAAAATTATTGACAATCCACCAAAATAATCCAATAAAAGCATGACAAAAACAAGTAGTTTTGTGAAAGTTGTGAAGAATATATAGTTTTTGGCTATTGACCTTTGGCCAATGAATATTTTAACATATCATGTCAGACGTGTCAAACATACAGCCCGCGGGCCAGAACCAGCCCGTCGTACGCATTAATCTGGTCTGTGACAGTTGAAGCTGTTGTTCTGTTCTGTTATTGATCCATTATGTTACAGGTCGGGCTCACTTGTTATTTAAATGAACCGTGTGACCTTTGAACTTTGAACTTAGTAAGCCTGCCAACTATACCAAAGTATGATAACACTGACTAAACAGTTTTGAAGTGGGCTGTCAAAAAAATACATTTTTCCTTTGCTGAAATAGCTGTGGATTAATCTAAATTAATTAAGAATAATCATCTGTGGTAAATTTAACAATTTTTTTTTTTTCCATCTGCCGTGAGGTTAAAGGCTCCACAAACATGTTGTTATTTTAAGATATGCTTTTTTTTTTCATGGTATTTTAAGCTTGTGGTGAAACAAAAACTCTTTATTTAATTATTTGACAAATCCATTCATTAAGGTGTTAATTTGACAGCCCTGCTTTCATCATTAATTTGTAATTTCTTTAATTAATGCTGACACATCTTCTCTGGTGGATGAAAGTGACCCGTATTTCTGGGAGCAATATTAAAAACTGGCCGTAAAAGATTCTCAGCAGNAGTCCCCCCTCCTCACCTGAGGGCATCCATGGATCTGATGACGGTTTCTCTTTCGTATTGGCCTGCTCCCACTCCAGGTCGTCGTCTCTGCCTTGGCTGTAACCGCACGCAGTCAGTGGTTTTTCGAAGTCGCAATCGCCTGTGACGGAAAGAGGAAGTTTATCTGGTTATGCGGTTTGTTTGTTTGGTTTTTTCTCCCCCCATTAACTCGCTGCTCTAATAAATGAACAAATTAAATTCCTTATTTTCCTCCACTAGAAGTCATAATGCAATATGCCAAACAATGAGACACATTTAAGTGAGACAGAGTGAAGCATGGCCGTAGCAGGCGAGGCACCACATACATTACCATCATTAGCAGCACGGCAGTCCAATTTCACAACGACAAGTATAAAGTGTCCAAACTCCATCATCGTTAGCCATTACTTTCCCAAACTGCACCACCAACAGGGATAAATTGATTTATTTTACACGCCGACCCCAGAACTTTGCTGTTCATGTTCATCCGCCACCGCCGCCGCCGCACTCTAATCTTTTTTACAAGCTGCCTGCAAAATGACAGCAAGCAACCATTAGGGCCAGTCTTCAACAAGGCGTGATCGATTAATACAAATACCCCTTTATTCCTCACCCCTTAAAGGCCACACACAGAATGTGAGAGTTGATGTGTTTTTTTTTCCCCCTAAAGTGATTTTCAGTCCAGTCATAAATCTGACAAAAACACACGTCAACTACATTATGCAGCCAGAGGTGGCGTACATGCAGAGAGAAAAGTTAGTTTGTTGACAGTGGCAGATGATTTGATGAGAGTGCACCTAACTTTACAAAGACATTATCATACTGTCACATCCACAGCAGACACGTCACAGCAGGACTGAAAAATAAATGCAAATATAGAATATGAAAATGTTGTACATCACTAATACATTTCTAAACATTTCTGACACGGCTAACAAATCGTGCTGCCTCCCAGATTGTCCTCTGAGCCAGAACACATTCCCGGCCAAGACCAATATCTCATCTTTTACAAACTCCCTGTGACGTTCTGCTGCATAAAGGCCAGCAGCGGGGTTTGTTTTTCCATTTATCTCTGCAGTGGCATTTACAGTACAAGTGCAAATGAGTGGCTAAACGAAGAGAGCGCAGGATAATTAATACCTAGCTCCATAGGTCAGCTGCTAATGATATGTTTGCTGCTTTTTTTTCTGGTTTTTGAGTGGGTGGAAACGGAGTGACTGTCGAAGTATCGCAAGTACAAAGGTTGACAAATTGCTGTAAAACCCGTCCAGAAACTCACTGGATCCTGTGGCTCAGACGTCACCGAGGCTGAAGGCGGTTACAGAACAACTGATTTATGTGTTCTCAGAATCCTGCACAGTCGTTTGTTAATGTAGAGGACTGTAGGATTTCACCTACAGTTTTACATTTCTGAATAATACTACTACTAATAATAATAATAAGCTCTTACTGTCACAAACTTTCAGCCTTCAGTTTTTTCAAGTGTCCAGGTTTGACGTTTTGCCAGGCTACATGGTAGTACTTAGTAGTAAAAATCACAATCAACCACAGATAATGAGCCAGAATGACAGAGTTAAAGACTGTCAATCCAAACACGGGGGTCACAGCCCGCTCCGTGGTCCAGTCAGCTCTGGATTTTTAGGGTCATTATTTGGTAATTTTCCTGATCACTTCCTGTTTGTTGTCTGTTCATCATCTTTCACTGCTGTTAGTGTCAACGATCAGATGTCAGTGTAACGTCTTGGCTTCCTGTAGCCGGATTAGCACAAATAGCTGAAGAAAACGGATTCATCAGTAAGACCACTGTACTGTGGGCAGACCCCTGAGTCGAGGCCAACAAGAACAGGATCAGTTTCAGTTGCCTTTCTGAAAGGAAATAAAATCTGACATTAATTTGACGTGTTCCTTCGGTCATGCAGACAGCTGGGTGCCTGAGCAATCGCCGCCGCAGCAGCAGCAGCAGCAGCAGGATGCACTTTGGGAGGAAGGTAGCTGCTGGCTGATTGGTGTGTGTTTTCTTTTATGCCGTGTTTTCTTTCCCTGGAGCTGCAATTCTCTTCTCATTAGTATTCTTTAACAGCTGCTAACTGCCAGTGTATAATTGGTGCAAGTTCATCATTTAGTGGAGGGAGCCAGACTCCACATCCACCCACTGTACATTAGTATGATCCACAGCCTGCACCGCCTCTGACGCTGGTTGTTGATTAATGTGAAGCAGAAGTAACAGGTGACAGAGAGTACTGCACCAGGACCGGCTGAGGAGCCCCGTGAATCACTGAATATCCTGATCCTCAAAGGCGATACTCTCGCCCAGAGACGTTTATTTAAAGATTTTCTGTCGCCGCTCAATTCCCCCGGAGGTCTAAAAGTCGGACCGTATGACGGCTACACTGAAGCACAGCTTGATGCTTCTTACTCAGAACCCTTCGCCTCCATAGACAGAACACTGATACGTAAATACGAGGTGTGAGCGTGGTGGACGTGTCAGGGCAGAATATATTTGGCCAAAGAAAGAGTCGCAGAAAACAGGCAAAGTTCCATCAATATTTCCACTCAATACTTCTAAGCTTCTTCGCCTTCATGTCGCCCACCTCGCACAGCAGGGTGGAGCTGGAACCAACGTGGAGAGGTGGCTTTTCATCCGCGTTTGATATTGAAATCAATGAAGGAGCAGAATGAATTCTGAATTAGCGGGCGAGTATTTACAATGCTGCAGGAATTAAAGCCGTCTGGAAAATAAAAGTGCACCCACAGCTCAGGGTATTTGTTTGATTTTTCTGGCTGTCAACTCTGTCCAATAAGGAAACAGGACGTAAAGATCTGGGTTCTGATGTGAGCCTTACTTCCCCTTAGTAACAGGCAACATGTTTTTCTTTAGATATTCAATGATAAAACATTTGCAATCAGAACACATCTGTAGGTTTTATTTTTAAATTTTCTAATTTTCTAATTTTATAGATTGTATTTCATATATATATCTATATATATATATATATATGAAATACAATCTCACACATTGTTCTGCCTCATGTTTAGACATAATCTAACTTGCTAAAAAGCCAACAGCGTGTACAGCAAAGCCGTAGTGATTCCCCATCGACTGCATTAGAGGAACATCCACACTCAGTGGTTAAGCTGAAACTTTTTAAACCATTAAGGCAGGCTAACAGGGTGTGAACAAACAACAAATCAATTTGCATTGCTTTGATTTTTAAACAGCTTCCTACAGCTCCTCGTGTCTTCCCGGGAACGTCTCCAATAATGCCCCGCAACCTGTTAGCGTTCAACGGCTCAATACCGAGCTAAAGACATGAGCATTTGGCTGTGGAGCAGGTACACGACACCTCCACTGTACTCCTGGAGGAGCGTTAGCTGCTGTGAGTGCTGTTACAAGAAAAAAATAAAATAATGCAACAGCTCCCATATGTTGCTGTGCCATTTATAAAAATAGCTGCTTCTGAATGAAGAGACGGCGAACGTCGATGAACGCATCAATCAATGACATGGTAATAGTCCTGCTCTCTGTAGGAGGATCATTTCCCTGCCAGTGTGTGGCACAGCCCCCGTATAATCAACTCCAACAGCTGCTGATATGATACCCCCCCCCCCCCCACCACCCCCCCCCCCCCCCCCAAAGCCAACACTCCAAAGGAGATTTACTTTCAATAAAAGCTTAGAGGAGGTGTGGGCCGACGCTCCACCCAGACCACGTCGCCTTTTCAGCAGAGGCAGTCGACTTGAAACTGAAAAAAGGTGGCCCTCAGATATGTCGTGGAACGATTGATTCCTGGGGGAGAACGAACCGTAGTAGTTATATTTGCACGCAGAGTGCATTTTTAAGAAATCTATCCATCTTTTCCTGGACTGAGCCAGAGGCCAGAATCAATAGCTCAACCCCTCGATGCCTGAGCCAATTTCTCCTAAAGATTTTTAAGTCCGATTTAAAAGGGCTTTTGTAATTGCAGCAGCAACAGAAGTAAACTTTCTGCATTAAACGCTGCGGTGTGTGTGTGTGTGTGTGTGTGTGTGCTGCCGTAATACCAGTAAATGAGAGTGGGAGGCGATGGTGACGGTGGAAGGTGAATAAATTACATGTTGAATGAAGATTGACAAGGTGGTAAATTGACAAACTGTTTCATGGCTTTGTTTACAAGGTCACATGTGTGGAAGCTGTTTGGGTTTTTTTCTTCTCTAACCATCTCTATTTCAAACACAGCAGGCAGATTAAATTAGCCGTGCTACTTTGACAACACTTAGTGTATTCTTGAAACAAATACTTTCATGTTGCACAAAATGAATGTGTTTTTTTCTTTGACAGTTAAAGTGTGGCGTTCATATTTTTCATTACGAAGCCACGCTCTGACTTGATTGATGAATGTTAGTGTAGCTTCATATGGGTAAGTAAAACAGTTGTCTAATGTTGAAATCTGTCACCTTTGAAATGATATACTTTTTACATGTTACGACAGAGTCACGGACATGTAAAAAAGAAATAGCCACCTTATTTGAGAGGTACTGTATTAGATAAAACTGTGTTAATCCCACACTGCGTAATTCAACAATACAATGCTGTAGTTGATTAATTTAACATGGGAAAAAAACACAAATGTATGGCCTGTAATTAGCATGTTGCTACTTACTAGTCACCAGTTACTAACATAAGGCTAAGTTTCAAGTTTTAAGTCTGGAAAGCAACTGCAGTATTGTTGGCGTGGTAATACTGCAGTATCAGTGGCATGAGACACAATATCCTCCCAGGACGGTGAAACAAAAAATGAGAGCCTCCTCAGCATCACCTCTGTCTGAGTCCCAGCGGCAGATACCGTTGCTGTGAGACCACCTCAGCCCCTCTGCCAATTCTAAAATTACCAGCCTTCAAACCCGTTCTGTCTGGCTGGGAAATCTCCAGTCCGCCATTGGCCCGGATCAGCCTTTATGTCTGCACTTGTTTTAACAAACATCTTGTTTGCCGGCAGCCAGGCAGACTGAAACCACAAGGCAATCTTGGGTAATTTAAAACCAATGCCGACTATCTCCCTCCACTGCAGCCAGTTAAGAGCTTCAGATTCCTGCAGCTAAGCCCCTCAGGGACTGATACGCCTTTTCACTCTGGCCCTATTT